ATAGAGGTCAGCTTGTCACAGGTGTTATTTGCTATTCAGCAAGTGGTAGGTACATGCCACCCATGATAATCTTTCCTCGTAAACAAATTTTTTTATTTTTATTTTCATTATTTTTTTTTTATTTGAATTTTCATGCTTTTTTTTTTATACGATGTTTTTATATCCGAAGATATTGTTGGCTTAGCATAGGAACAGCCACAAATAGTCATTAAGATTAATCTAAAATAGCGTCCGTTATTGACCAACATTTTTCGATAAAAAGATATTACTCTTTATTCGATAGCTACATAAGCTATTGTAATATTGCTTGGGAAAATACTTGCCCTTCAGCTTTGATATATATATATATATATATATATATATATATATATATATATATATATATATATATATATATATATATATATTATATATATATATATATATATATATATATATATATATTAAACAAAAACAAGCCATTAGAATTATGTAATGTGTGTAAATACGCCAACTCCAAGCCGTTACTCTGGGAAATTAAGGCTATTAATGTCTATGTGTTATACCTATTTCAAAACTTGTTATTCATGTTTAAATACCAAAATCACATGCCTCCAAAATCCTTTATTAATCCTTCATTAATCTAAAATATTAATCATAAAAACTTAACGAAGTGCTCCATAACTTTAACTTACCTAAGTCAACTCTTTAAATCCGATTACCCAATTTCAAATAGAGACCTCGTCTGTGGAACATTGTTCTTGATGAAAATATGAAAACTAAAACCTCAATAAATGAAATAATATTAAACAGTATTTACTCGACTTAACAGACACAAACACATTTTTCTATTTTTAGGTTTAAAAAAAAATGTTGTAATATTTCTCACTTTATTTATTTTATTGTTGCAACTTATCGTATCTTATTTTAATTATGTATAAATTTGTTTTATATAATAAGTACTTGTAAACTTATGTAAATAGAAATTTGTAAAAATACTTTACGCTGACTACAGGGGCTTGATGACAAGACTTCTGACTTCTACTTGCTCCTGTCGTTTTTAAATTTTATTTAAATTTTATCGATGAAACTTGTAAAACAAGATATAGTTGTAAAAAGTTTATTAATGACAAAATAAATAAAAATAACTAAAAAAATAATAATAATTACAAATAATTACAAACTAAATAATGGCCTCCAATAATTGACTTATAAGTCTCTCTTTAAAAACACCGTTTACCGATTAAAACCTTTGTTTATTAAAAAACGACGATTTATATTCATCTGTATTTCTTAAAATTTAGTTTATAAAATCTATTTTATAAACAAAGATAAATCAAGTTAAGAGAATTAAATTTAGACTTAATGAAATTATTCACTTAGTATCTTTTTATTTAGTGTAATGAAAATCTTGTCATGAGTACTTTTTTTTTATAAAAAAAATCTCATGGTAATTGTTATATAATACGTTGGTGCTTTCATAACATACAGGGTGTACAATTAATTTCTGACCCCCCTCGCTCATAAATGCTCAATGCAATTAAGGTCTGATGAATTCCCTGGCTAATCAGTATAGGGATTGTTCCCTATTGATGACATCCATTGGTGCTTTTATACACGGTAATAATATTATTGCAGAAATTTTATTTTCAGGTTTTTAAAAGAACCTTTCTCCAGATAAAAAACAACAAACAATTAAAATGTTTAACAATATTCTGAACAGAGCAACATAAACATGGCAATGAAAAATATAAGTACGATTTAAGGCAGATTTTAAAAAAAATATAGGTGACTTTTTTCACCGCGTGCACGAAATAGCTTTTGTCGTCTTTTTTTAGAATTTTATATTGACTCAGATATTTAAAAAGTAGAGTATTTTAAATTTATTGAAAATTTTGTTGTTGTTTGCAGTTACTCACGTTTTTAGTGATTTAATTGCTATTGAAAACTTCGTTCCTGTTCTTGAAGTGAATTGATGTTAAAGGCATGATGTTTTTTTTTCTAACTTTTCAGTCAACTTTCTATATCTATTTTTTATATACCTGCCAAATTTTATTAAAAAATAATGACACGCTAATACCTAAACCTAAAAGGTTAGGGAGGGGGTTCACGATTATGAGCATTTTGTATATTTTAATTTTTTTATTCATTAAAAATTTATTTTTTTAGAAAATTGAAACTTTTATTAAAAAGATAGGTGATTTTTTTAAAGTATTCAAAACACGATTTACACACACACACACACACACACATACACACACACACACACACACACACACACACACACACACACACACACAAAAAAACACACACAAAAAACACTATGCCATCTATTTATAGAGATTCAAGTGATTTTTTTTATGTTGCATTTAATAATTTTTTTTTTTAAAGTGTAATAATGATTAAAGTTGATTGAATAAAACAATTATTATCATTATTGAAATTTTTTTTTTAGAGCATTATGGGACTGAATTCTTCTGGTTCTTTAGTGAAATCAGCGGTTTCTTTGCAGGGCGTTGAAAAAACAATCCGGCTTTAACTGCACGTCGTCTGATTGTTCAGTCCGATACAGGCAGCTCTAATTGCTTTTGTATCTCGACTGATGATATCCAGGGATCCTACTTGACGGATCTGACGATCATAGATACTTCTCTAGAAGTGGTGAAACGCGGTCTTCCACCTTTGTTATATACTGCAAACTTCACCGTAGAACGATATTTGGAACATTGTCTTGATACGGTCCATTTTTTCACGCGATATTTATCACAAATACTTTTTTGTGACATTCTACTTACATAATCGCCAATAATTTTTTTTCTTAGTTCCAATCCAAGACTGTCAGGACCCATTTTCGCCCTTGAAGTCATAAAAATAATAAAAATAAATTAATCACGCTTCTCAAGGCTTACCGTGTTACATTTACCTTGTAATGATACAATAATGCTTTGTGGAATACAACGTCTGGATACTTCCTTTAATTATTAAAAAACTTCCGTGACGTTGACACGAACCAGAAAATGAAACAAACCAAAAAAGTTGCAATTGTTTTGTCCGCTGCAAAATGGCACTTGCCAACGAAATTCTGCCTGTGTGCTATCACCTGTCAGCTGATTGCTCCTGTCATGGCATGCTATGACTCCAGACTCCTGAACTGTTTGCTGTGGTAGTATAGTTCGTTTCGTTTTTAAGACATGTAAAATTAGGAACACTATTTAGCATTGTTCGATGTTGGTTGCAAATGTTTTGTCCAATACTGTATATCTCCTGCTTATAAAGCAAGCGCTGTAACCACTGAGCCACGGCCGCACAAATGTATTCAACCACAAGCTGAAGTTTTCTGTACTTCTATTTTATCTTCTCAACACTTCAGTGTTCTTCATCCGTATCAAATAGTAATCACTTATCTCCTTTATCTGGTCCCGCTTTAATAAACACTTCTCATGAACCACTAATACCCAGGTTGAGAGCTGATTAGATGAGTCATGAAAAAAGTTTTGTGAAAGAGGTTAACCATTTTGGAAAATGAAATGGCAAATTAAAAAAATAAGAAATGAAAGCGTAAAGAGGATCTAAAAGAGTTAAAAGAAAAGGCAAAGGTCTGCTCAATAAAATTATATATATATATATTATCTTGTTCTATCTCCACATTTTTAAATTTTGATATAAGACGATTTTAAAAAACAAAAACTTTAGGAGACGGCATATAAAAAGATTTTTATTACTTAAGTTTTCTTCGCAACTTTGATTATAACCCAGGTTTTAATATAGTAGAAGAACATTATTTTACAATACACAATTAATAAATCAAATTTTTCAAAGTGAAAATAGAACAAAACAATTCTAACCTCGCGATATATATAAAATTATATTAAAGGATTTTATAAAATATATTAAAGGATTTTAGAGGAGATTTTGCATTTAATTTAGAGGATTTTTTTCGCTTAACTACAAAATTTTGAATAAAAATTTTGATTTTTATTCAAAATTTACATTAACCCCAGGTTATGTGGAACATAGCTGGGGTTTGGACAGGGATCAAAAATGTCATTTTTTGTTAGATGACATGGATCTACTAAAATTGATTTTTTACAACCCAATTCTCATTTCAGACATTACGCAGTTTTGCAGACCATAAATTTTGAACATTATGCTACCATTAAGAAATAAAAAAAAAAAGAGGAGATTTTAAGATATTTTCAACTTTTTAGAGGATTTTTAAAGGATTTTAGAGGAGTTTTTGAAAAAGGAGGACTTAAGAGGATTTTAGAGGAGCTGTTGCCATCCTGATTACGTTATGCACTAATTTCACGAAATACTTCAGCAAAGTCGTATAAATTTTTATTACAACATCAACCGACTTTTGGTTTACTAAGAAAAATTCAAAGTGGTGATATAAATGCATTGAAAGCGATAAAAATTTTGTTAAAAAAAAAAAAAAAGCATACTAAGTGATTTTGTGCTTCTTGCGGACGAGATGTATTTGGAAAAAGAAACCTAGTACCGGCGTCAATTAATGCTAAGGTGAAAAATAAATCACAATACGTGGTAAATAAATTGGTGAAGATTCAGAAAGTAATCTTTCTAAAGGTTTTCTTGCTTTTTATAAGTTACCTGAAGATTGCATTATAGGTTCATGGTTAAAAGACGTCATTAATCTGGTTTTAAAATAAGAACTGATGTTAAGTAAAGAAGCGAAATAATATTAAAAAAAAATTTAAAAATATTAATCATATATGAAAAATAACTTAAAAAAATTAAACTTTTTTATTACAATTAAAAAACACTAGAATGCAATTAAATAAAACATTATAGTTTTCATAGAAAATGAACTTTTTTGAAACTTATATGTTAAAGTATAACATGCATAATTTCACTTTCAATTTCATTTGAGACTTTGTTAAACCTTTTAAAAATTTATATTATACCTAACTTGTGTTTGTGTAACTTGTATTATACCTAACTTTTGGGGGCTTAAAAGGGCCTCTAGTCCAATTATCAAAGTTTTTAACAAAAAAGTACAGTTTATAAACATTATTTTTATTAATTTTTTTATTATTCATCATCATTACCATCATCGCTGTCAGAGAATCGAAAATCTTCAACAACATCTTCGTCATTGGCAGTCGCTTTATTTTTTATCTTCTTTTTTACAGGTTCTTTTACGTCTGCTATATTCTTTCTTTTCAGCGAAGATGCAGGCTTAAAAAAAAAAAATGTAAAACTTTTTTTTTTGAATCTTCAAAGCTAACTAAAAATATTTTAAAAAAAAGTGAATGTAAGACGAGAAGTCAAAAAATCAAATTTAATTAGATAAAAAATTAGGAATCACTTTTAAAATGGAATCACTAGAATCATTTTTTCAAAAAAAAAAAAAGAAAATCCATTCCCTTTTCTTTAAACATTCATTCATTCCCTAACATTTCTTTAAAGAAACACTTAAATTAAAATCAGAAAATAGAAGCACTAAGATGGCTTTAACAAAAAAAAAACAAAAAAATGCCTACATAAAAACACGTTTTTCTAAAAGAAAACACAAATGTAACTACAACCTTTTTCTTTATTTCTGGTCCGTTAGCATACTTTCCGACATCTTTTATTGTATTTTCGTTCATTTTTTTCCAATTGTTGTAAAACTGTCTTAAAACATTATTTTTTTTGCTTTGATCGCTTTCCCATTTCCTCTATAAATTAAAACCTTTTTTACTAAGTAAAATGAAGTGTACAATTGAAATAATTGCAAATAGGAAAGAATATGAAAAATACCACATCGTCTATGTCCTTTGGTGAAAATGTTACTTTACCACGAATTCTACTAATTTCATCGGCATGACATTGAAGCTTAATAACATAAATAAGAAATAAATTCATAAATCAAAATAATACAAAAAAAAAATCAAAATAATATAAAAGAACCAAAATAATACAAAAATAAATCTAAAATCAAACAATCAAGAGTTTTAAACAAACTATCAAACAATCAAACAAGAATTTCAAAAAAAAAAAAAAATACTTTTTCAATAAGAACTTTCATGTCTTTGCATAGTTTAGGAGCTTTACTTTTTTTTAACAGACGTTTCACCTAAAATAAAATAAAAAGTAAGGAAAAGAAAATTCAAATATTGGTGTTTCACAATTTCGTAAAAAAAATGTCGTCTTCCGCATCATCAGTGATGTTTAGCATATACCAGAAGCTATTTAAGAAATTATTTCATATTATGACATGCAAGCTATTTGAGATTTCAAATTATTTCATAACTTGAAATAACTTGAAATCTTAAATTGACTTGGAAGTTGCTTAAGATATCAAGTTAGCGGTTCTTTAATAAACCTAAAAGGAGAGTATATATCAAGTATAACTAATTTCTATCTAAAATTACCAGAGATAGCACTGGTTTACAAGAACACAAGTGAAAAACTTTAAAAATCATTTGGCCTTTAAATTTTTATAATGCTGGATTTGGATAAAATTCTTCATACTATAAGTAAGCAAACACACTATAAGTAAAAAAAAAAACATAACAATAAAGATTACCCTTTGGCGAATTGGAAAAACTAGCTCCGGAAATGCAATTGAATTGGAATAAATGACGTAATAATGGAGAAGCGATTCAAATGCAACATCAGTTGTAATGTCCTAATAAAATAGCAGTATAATGAATAAATTTTAATGCAAATTTTTATTAACATTGTTAAAAATAAATCAATTTTGGAATATTATAACTTTATTTGCAACAAAAATAAAAAAATAACGTAAATATCAATAACATATAAAACAACGTAATAATAAGGTAATAACATTTATAAAAAAGTAAAAAATAAAATTAAATGTTTAATTCAATGAATTAAAATCAACCATCTGCACTCATAAAATAAGATAAATTTATTGACATTTTATAAAAAAAAGATTAAAAAACAAACAAAACTTTTTCAACAATACTAAAATTTAGTATGACTTCAATACTAAAATTTTGTATAAATAAATTAATAAATAAAATAAATAAATAAACTATCTTCTGATCCTTGTAGTTATGGATAAGCAGAAAATTTTTTTTAACATAAATCTAAAAATGTTTATAAATATAAAAATTGCTGTACAAATTTTGTTAATTTATGTTAAAAATGTTTATAAATATAAAAATTGATGTACAAATTTTGTTAATTTATTTTAATTACAAATAATTGTAAATATAACTAATTATTCAATATTATGACAAATTATAATAAAAGCAACAAAAATATATATTTTTTCAATTCTGTTGATAGCAGCTATCATTGTCAGGCAACCATCATTTTTTTCATAATGATGACAGCTAACCATCATTTTTTACAATTATCTACAATCATTTTTTAATTTGGTACTGCTACCAAACTATATAGGGATAACTAAAATTGTCAAAATTCAATTGTGCTGACTAAGTTTAGTAAAGATTGAAGCCATCAGCCATCAAGTTAACAATAGAATAGAGAAATTAGAAAACCAATCACGCCTGTGCAACTGCAACAAAAAATCTCCCATGCTTCCATTTTTCAGCAACTAATTGAAAAATATTATTCCTTATCAAATTAATATAGAGGCAGTGATATAAATAAATATAATAAAAATGTTGCCAGCATTCTACTTCCACAATAATCAGGTAAAAAGTACAGCTATTGTAGATTAGGTTAATTCTGATTAAAAAAAAGCTGGAAAAGTCATCTAACAAATGTACAGAATAAATGTACACCTTTAATACTATGTAATACAAAGATATGTAAAATAATATAATATACATATGTATCCACATAAACACACACCTACTATATACATATATACTTTTTTTATTATGATAATGGTGTTCAAAGCATGGGGTACGATATCATCCCTTTGCCTTTTTAAAATTTTTAAAAATCTTCTTTTAATCCTTACCATAGAATGCCATCCTGGTACTAGTTTAAATAAAATCTTATTATCTTTTTTTATCATAAATAAGTGTAAAAACAATTGAATTGTTATGACTATAAACATATTTAAATGTCATGCCATGTCGTGTCGTGTGGTGTAGGGTGTAACAGCATAGATTGGTATTAGATGTGGTGTAGGGTGCAGCAGCATAGGAGTATTAGATGTGGTGGAGAATATAGCAGCATAGGAGTATTAGATGTGAGTAGCATAGGTTGGCATTAGATGATGTAGAGCGTAGTAGCAAAGGTGTATTAGATATGATGTAGGGTGTAGTAGCTTAGGTGTATTAGATATGATGTAGGGTATAGTAGCATAGGTGTATTAGATATGATGTAGGGTGTAGTAGCATAGGTGTATTAGATATGATGTAGGGTATAGTAGCATAGGTGTATTAGATGTGATGTAGGGTGTAGCAACATAAGAGTATTAAATGTAATGTAGGGTGTGCTAGCATAGGTGTACTAAATGTGATGTAGGGTGTAGTAGCATAGGTGTATTAGATGTGGTGTAGGGTGTAGTAGCATAGCATATTAACTATTTTTAGACTAAAAAATAAAACAATATTTGATTTGCTTGACATTGTTTTGAAAAAAAAATGCTATTCATTTATTATTTATATCATTTACTAATTATAAAAATGGATAAATAGCTAGGAAAGTGAAAGTAAAAGAAAATTAAACAGCTTCTAACAGCAATATTTCTAAATGCAATATTAAAAGCAATACTTCTTAAAAAAATGGCTTCAATAGAAATAGTTCTAAATACTTGATTCAACATACAAAAAACTCTGAAAAGCTGAAAAGTCAATTGCAATCATTCTGCTAATATCTCTTTATATGTCAGCAAAAATAATTTTAACATACTTTCAGTTTTCCACCACAGCTACACCAAAGTGATGATTCACTACAAACATAAACTAATACAAAGCCACATTTAGTTAGGTTTGATATGGTACCCTACTGTTCTCTACTACACCTCTATTTATTGCGCACTGGAATGTTTTTATGAAGGTATAATCCAAAGAGTAATAAACAATACAAATAAAATGAACAAACAAATAAAATGTATTGAAATATGTTTTAATTCAAAATTTCACAAACTTTTAAAATAATATAATTTCACCTATGGCTTTGTCATCTAAAAGTCATCAAAACACAAAATTTATATATTTTTATTTTGAGTATGGTTCTAAAACCAAAGAAAGATATCAGTTTAAAATGTTAACAATAAATACTTATCTAAAAACAGCAATATAACCTTTACAAACTTCAATAATATTTTGAAAATTAGACCACTAAGAGATTTTTAGTAATTTCAATGTAGATTTTATTTTAGATTATGGAGTTAAAGTGGTACAGCCATTTTTTTTTAAATATTGCTTAGTATTATACCACTATGCTTTTCCATATCCAATAAATAATAGTTTAACATTATCATAAATAAGTTGAAGTTGGTTTTGCAAACACAACTTAACTATTTGAAAAATTATGAAAAAAAGAATGTCTACAAGCACAAATTATCTTTTGGAATTTTTAATCTAACACACTCAAAAATTTAGAAAATTGATCATATTCTCTCAAGTTATCAAAACCTTTCCAACATTGTTTATACAATTTGCATTGACATGTCTACATTTAACTTCAAAAGTAAAGAGACATTTTTAATACGTAACTTTTAAATCACACTCAGAAAATAGAAACCTCTAGAACATTGAGGAAGTATACAATATTTTTTTCCAAGGAGTTCTAATGTAAACTGACCTAGAGCATAACTATTTGTAGCGTTAAGTTAAATTCTATATAAAATTACCAAGTCATAACAAGTTTGATGAATACAAGTTCCAATAATTTTAGAAAGATGTTTAAAACATTTAACTTGCAGTCCTATCATTTTGCATGCCATATCAAGTTATAATTTAAAATCTAAAGGCATGTCATAATGATTACTGATAAGAGCACACAAAAAATCTTAACCTCATTAAAAGGTTTTATCATTTAAAATTTTCTACTAAAAACCAACTTTTTTGATAAATACAATTTTAAAGGATTGGATTCTACATTCTAAAGGATTGGATTCTACATTCTAAAGGATTGGATTCTACATTCTAAAGGATTGAATTCTACATTCTAAAAGATTCGATCCTACATTCTAAAAGATTGGATTCTACATTCTAAAAGATTGGATTCTACATTCTAAAAGATTGGATTCTACATTCTAAAAGATTGGATTCTACATTCTAAAAGATTGGATTCTACATTCTAAAAATTTGATTCTACATTCTAAAGGATTGGATTCTACATTCTAAAGGATTGAATTCTACATTCTAAAGGATTGGATTCTACATTCTAAAGCTGTTTCAAGTCTATTTAGCAATCTTAGTCACTTTATTATCAAATATTAATTCTTGAGTTTTTTGAATTAATCAAAGATTTTAAATTTTTTTACAAGGTGTAAAAAATCATACAGTAAATACTTTTTATCTGCTCTCAATTATGGCTTGCCTGATAATAGCTTTTACACCGACAGATTTAATTGATATCTTTTTAATTAATAATTTACATAGTTTCGACAAGTTTTACTAGGTCATTTTACTGATCTACCAAAAACAGTTCCACCATGATAAAGTAAACTTTTAAAAATATAAATCTCAAAATGCAGTATGCTTCACAATTTTTACTTATCTGGAAAAAAATTAAAAATTGAAAAAATATTATTTTTTTAATTTCATTTTTAAATAGTTGAAAAATACGAGTAAGTGTTAGTAATCACTCATTAAACAATTACTTAATGTCCTTGATATTGAAAAATGTACACAAGAGTAAATAGCATGTCAGGTGTAAAAATATTTTTTTAACTGAACTCTTTCCATAACTGAAACATGCTGCTTAGTTACTTCTTTTAATTATGCCCTTTCATAAAATTCAAAAATCAAAGAATTTCATTAAATTTTGACCATGCATTAAAGTTTAATTCGTTGTTAAAATAGAAAAATTACATTTAAACCTATAATGAAATATATCAAAGCTAAGAGTTTGATGGCCACTCTGCATATTTAACACTGCTAGACTATTATATCAATAGACATGATAGTCTAGAATATCCTCGTCTTTGTTGTATAACTGTAATGATTGAAAGAAGATATTCCAACTAACTCAAAAACTCCTGCATCATTAAAGGCTCCCAAGGTGAAATCAAATAAACCTCTACTTTTTTTAACTTAAGCTTCAAAACTGTTAAATAATAATTATTTCCTGGCATAATGTATTAACTTTTTTTAATCTTGATTTATAATTAAGTATTTTTTAGCAAAGGTTAGAGTTTTTATTTTTTAATTTGTATTTAATGGCTGATGATTGCCGTATAGACATGAAACTTACCAAAAAAAAGTACCATAGAAAAAAGTTGCTTTTTCGTAATTTAAATATATATATAGTTTCTGCAACACAATGATTGCATACAGGTGACCAAAGAAGCTGTCTGGTCAGGTAGAAATGGAAGTGGTGGTTCTAAAAACAGACTTTAAATTAAAGAGCTGTTAAGTGAAAATCAGAAAGGATAGATATCTAATCTTTTGACCTTTAGTAAAAGGAAAAAATTAGCGTGTGAAATAAACATACAGCTGTGAGCATGAAAATAGCAGTACCAAAAAATTATTCGTTTTTTCAATATTACTCTCCTTCTGTTAATACAGA